ATACAGTAGAGCGTCGTTTATCCGAAAGCTGGTTATCCGAAACGTCCGTTATCCGAAAGCATTCCAGTCGGCAAATTTAAATTTTCGCTAGTGCTGTGGCGCTGCAATCTTCGGCTATTTCTCGAGCTATTCAAATATTTTACGTTTTTGATACTAAATTAACATCTGAAGTATAATTTTTTATTATTTTTATATTTTTCAATATATTTATTTTGTTTGTACAAAATAAAAAAATAATTTTTAACGATACAATAGTCTTTGTTAGGCTTAACATCGACGAAAATTTAACGTGAAGCGACACGCAACGGAAAAAAATTTCGACATCCTATACGTTAAACTATTTTTTTGTACGTAAATCAGTTATCCGGACAACCCCATTCCCCAATTGATTCGGAAGATCGACGCTCTACTGTATATATATATATATAGAGAATATTGCACGCACCCATGATTTACTCACTTATTAAAAATTTAATGAAAATTCATTGATTCCTGATGCTGCTGTATATTTTTTTGAGTAGATGTGGCTACATAAAACACAAAGGATTATATGTGGCTATTTGATTTAACAAATTGCCTATAAAAAAATAATCAAAAATCTGTATTTAATTTATATCTAGATTTAAATATGGGTATATTTAATTGCCTAGATTCCTTATTTGAATTCAATTACCTTATATACAACTCTCTAGATCAGAGCATCTTAAACGGGCTCTGATCTAGAGAGAGACAAAAGATATCCCCAGGGAAAACTAGAAACAAAAGCAACACTTTCATTAAAATTGTTTGGGTGTAATATGACATCATCATTATATAATTTTAAAAAGGATGAAAAATAAAAAAATACTAAGAAGAATGGAACAGGTGTCATGGGATATACTATACACAGATCTGCAAGTTATAACTATTGTTCTCATTGGAACATGGCTCAAAGGAGTATAAGAACCACTGCTCTAGATCAAGGGTGGGCAACCTTTTTTATAACATGGGCCAGAATAAATTTTACGTTTTTTCCGCGGGCCATAGTAGTTAATTGACACCCTGTGACCTTTAAATTTTTAGTTTGCAAATATGAAATAAATTAATAAATAAATTAATTACTACAGTCGACCCTCCTATAACACTGTTGATTATTCTGTTTTATATGAATTCCATGTTGTATGAGTCACTTAGATTTTACAAATGCGTGTGCCGGGCTGTGAACGGCTCACCTATTTGTAAAATCTAAGTGACTTTAAACACAATAAAAACAGCACTATGTAGTTGGATACGACAGACATTACATTTTCTAATTGCATAGCTTTTGCACATAGATTTTCTTGATGGATGATGCGATGAGATATAAATAATTTAGAAAAATTCAGTTCTTTCATTTTTTGTTTGAATAAAGAAATGACTCCCTTATTTTTTTTTGTCATTGCTGCCGCAACACTTCAGAAATAAATATTCAATTTAAACTAGACAAATTACATTGAAAAACATTTATTTATAATTTCTTCTAAACATCTTGCGAGCCGGATAGAAACTTTTCGCGGGCCGTAGCTGGCCCGCGGGCCAGGGGTTGCCCATCGTTGCTCTAGATAATCATCATATATACAATCTAGTTCCGTAATATCATAAATCTCTCATTACCTTTCTGCCTAAACTGGAGTTCATAAAAAGTCAAATCACCAAAATGACTAAGTGCTTTTTATCTTTCTTCAATTTTGGGGACGTGGACTCTGAAGTTGGATGAAGAAAGCCTAAAAGAACTTGATTTGATTTTTTATGAACCCCAGAGTTTAAGTAGAAAAATAATTTAAGATTTTAATCTTGTAATGAACCTTTTAACAATGTACATTAACAGAAAAAATCAATTGAAGGATGCTATTCTTTTATGTGTAACTATGATTATCTTAAGGCAAGCATTTTATAAATATAAAATGTTACTAGTTTCCATTTTCCTTTCTTTTTTGTATTTTAAACTATCCATTCTCATGGTTGCATGTGTACATGGTTAAACAAATGCAAACATATTTGATCTGTAACAGCATCTATAATAATTTCCAGATAATGCAGACAAAACTCACATTGTGTGGGCATTCCTTCTGGGTCTCCACTAACCAAACTATCCATCATCTTTTGCAGCTGTCTTTTTATATGTACTTTAACAACACTCCAAATACATTAAATTAAATTTAAATGGAATTCTTTTGCTGTTATTTCTTCAAAACAAGATGGACAGGGGGCATTACCAAAATAATGATAAAATTTTGCATGTTTTTTCCACTACATTTTACCAATCTTAAACAATGACACAAAATGAAGATAAAATCTCTTAAAAGCTCCTTGCTTTCTTTCCCAAACTTCAAGCCAGTTGAGGGTATACACCTATAATAGACTTGTTTGTTCTTTACTGTTTGGTATTTTAACAACAGTGTGTTCCAATAGGAACATGTCCCTTGCTATGTCTGCAATATAAACTGAAGTTTGCTTTGTCTACAAACAAAATGTGTTTTGTTGATTGAATATATTTCAAGATATTTTTAATGTACATATTTCTTAGCTGCTTATTCTCATTATAATTCATTCCTTGCGAGAGATTATGCACTTTTTCACAGGATATTAAATGCCCATCAAGACATTTTAAAATTATCTGACAAGAAACAACGATGCTTCTTTGTTTATTCACATAAATTCTTCAATAGAGTAAAAAGTCCTGGTAAATTATAAGTTTTTCTGCAAATGTTAATTACATATTTATCATCCTAGATAACTTTTACCAATGATATGCTTTTATACTGTGCCATCGTCTGGGGGTTTTTAAAATAAGTTTTATATATTGTGGAGAAGAACCTCAAAATAAAAGGTCTATTCTGCCATGTAACTTTGGGTAGATGGGAGAAGAACCTCAAAATAAAAGGTCTATTCTGCCATGTAACTTTGGGTAGATGGGAGAAGAACCTCAAAATAAAAGGTCTATTCTGCCATGTAACTTTGGGTAGATGTTCACCTAGGTAGCCCCAATGTTGGTATTGTGTTTAACTGTGCCAGCTTGAGTAGCCTATTTGACTGTTCTTGGAGTACTTGAGTTATATAGTTTCAGGGGGTGCTTGCCCCACCCGGGTTCTAAGATGCGAGCGATAGCAAGTACCGAGCACATGCCTACACGAGAAGCACGGAGGTTAGCGAGTAGACTAATACATGTTAAAAACTGATCTTCAGAGACGAATATCACGCAAAGGATTGACAATTGTGGGGTGGTGTGATTATGTAAAAATTATGAAATTAAACATCAATTTCACTAAAAAAGTAGTGAAAACGACCGTCGCTCTGATAACAGAAGTGACGCCATTGGGGCTACCTAGGTGAACATTTAACTAACTTTGTTGTGTTCCTGACATGTGTGAAAAGGATGAATTACTAAGACACCCTTTTTATTCTGGAGTGTTTCTATGAATTTATGTATAATTAATCAATTCTGGATGATAAATATGACATTCAAAAAGTAATCAGCCAGATAATTACGCATTAAAGTACCTAAAACTACAACAGTAGGATCTATACGCCAGACAAAATCTAGGTTGAAATCAAATCCAGATTTCTGGCTTTATGGAGCCAAACATCTTGCAAAGAACCGTAGTTAAGTTGATCTCAACCATGGCTCTTTGCAAGGTCCCTCAAAGGCCCAGATTGTGGAACATCTGGGGCGCCACTGTCTCATTCAGAGCTAGAACCTTAATACAATATACTTACTTCATCCATTATTGGATGTACTCTTCTGATTATATAGTAAGTAGGTTCCGCGTAACGTTTCAAGGACCCTCTAATGAACATTCTTCCAATTCCATAATTCTTAAGATTCAAAAGAATATGAAAAAGAGGTTTTCCTACACAATTTGTGCTTCGACCAACGTAAGTAATAGGCATAATTCGTTAATTGCAGTCCCTCTTCTTCAACTTAAGATAGTCATTCACTTATAAATACACAGAAATAAGAATTTTGTACTAATTAATCGATGTAAACTGCCTTTGTCGTTACCGTGAATAAAACTTAAAATTCGTGTTAGGTTCGTTTGTGTTGAAATTTTCACCTGTCCCTCTAGCGTGAAATTGTTAAATTACATTAAAATATTTATTAGTGTTGCCAACTCTTACTGAATTTATTCGTTAAAAAATTATTGAAATTTATAGAAAACAGAATTAAAATAATTTTTTTTAATATTCTGTTTTTAAGCAGTATAATAATAAAAATCTTTTTCTTAATTTTACCTGTTTGCGTTTACCTTTTATGACGTCACAGACAATTACGAATCAAGATCTTTGATGACGTAACTTCCATCGAATTACGATGTCGGCCAAAACAGAAGCCCTCTAGAGTATAAAAATGGCGTATTATTATAATAAATATAGTTCAAAACTATCACACTGGTGTATGAAAATAATTTATTATTGTTAAATTATACAATTCTTCGATATTACCGGGTTGTAATTAATTTTTAATAGTTTATAAATTATAAGTAAATTATTAAATAATTTGCCTATTTAAAAATAACGTTGAGATAACAGCCAATCACATTAACTGTTTCATCATTTAATCGTGCAGTAATTATCACTGATCTCAAGTATCGTCTGCTTTCGAGTAGAAGACGCCATCTTGGATCTAAATGAGTAAGTAGTCAAATATTTGCAATTATGAAATCATCAAACGTCTACTTGTTAACTAAAAAGATCACAAAGCTATTTTTAGTCACGTGTTATCAGAAAATAGTTATGTTTACATTGGTATTTATTATAAATTTACATTTGTAATTTCATAGATACATTACCAAGTCAGTATGTTTGCATTTATGGAAATACATAAACCATATCCTTAGATAATGTCGTACTCTTCTAATTTACTAAAAGACATGCAGCTATTTAAAGCATTTTGAATTTTGTATTGATTATTATTATGTATTATGATACTATAATGTGATTTATAGTAGTGCCATAATTCTGTATATAATATATACAGTATTATGGTAATAATTAAAATACTCCTATTGAACACTGACAAAACATATATTTAGCAGACCAAAAATAATCAGATACATTTCAGAACCTGCAGAAGACATTTCCGTAAAAACTATCATCAAAACTCGCCACTGTGGCACTTTCGGCGCTGCAAACAACAGACATTTCATTATACAGCGATGGGGGCAATACTGTTCAATGTAATCCCTGCTTAAAGACAAAACTTGAAGGTGATTAACAGATTTTTTTTTTCAGTTTTTGACTCTCCGTCCGATGAGAACTAAGCAGATCTTCATTCCTATCGTAGGCCTGGTGAGACTGGGTGGTGAGGAACGGGCTCTATATGTGAAGAACATATCTCGAAACGAAAAATTCTTGTGGTTTTTCGCTTGCCCGGATTGGATCCCGCGTCCTTCAGAGCAATAGGTTGACATCTTAATCGCCTGTCGGCCGGATGGTGTAATAATTGATAATAATTGAGCCGCTGTGATGCTTTCACGTGCAGTGTGATACTTTCTTTCGAGACTGCAAATTTGAAAAAAGTCGTCTCATCGATAAACCACGCTTTTTAAATGTCTTCACAATAAAAAATTATAAGCATTAATCCTTGTGATTTTTGGTTGTGAAGACACTTAAAAAGTGTGGTTTATCCGGAAAAAGAGATGGGCAGGCGGTAGGAAATGCACGAATAATCACAGAAAACGTGAGGGTTTTTTGTGGCCCGAATATAACAGTTATTATTTCACTAAGGTGCTTCGTCGCTTCACAGGACCTTTCCTAACAGAATGGGGATGGTTGTGTCGTGGCTTTATGAGCGCAGTACATATATCCTATTCTGACAAAGAAGGTCAATGAAAAATTCAGTCGGTGGTTCATCTTACATTAATGACAACGTAGCAAGTTTCAATACTCAGTACTTTCAACACTGTCATTGGATACACCCAATTGCAGTGATATTGTCAATGTCTACTGGAGCCTGCAACATTATTCATTGGCTGTTTAAGAACAGCTATGGTAACGTTTTCAATGACTTGTAAAGTGATAGATTAACCCTGGGAATTCAATCCGATTGAGGGTGGGTTGAATCCCTTAGAGGTTCACTTTCTTCGAATAGAGTGATCATTTTTCTGACGGCTTGGAGAGTTCTCAGTTTAAAGGCAAAATTCTGGAAGTGAGTGCAGTATTGCCGTTGTTTTCATAAAACAGCTTTACAAAAATTCTATAACCAGTTTAACTTTTCCGGCAATATTTAAATCGCGTGTGGCGCCGTCTGTTACGATATTTTATTTAATTTTTTTAAAATATTTTTAATTATTATAAAATAGCAAAAAGCTTTTAATTTTGAGGCTAGGAATGGGTTTTATAAAAATTTGTAAATGCTAATAATGAGTAATATCGTCATTAAGTCCGACCACTCGAGATACCACATACTATCCCTCTGTTTCTCCCCACCTCCTCCACCTTTAATTAATTAACCACTAAAATTTAATAGCATCGATGCCTCTAATACACAAACTTCCCTGAAAATTTCAGATATTTTCGACTAAAAGCACAGGAGTTATTAAGCTTCAAAACAGGGTGCCTTCACATACACACTAACATCCTTGCATACAGAAAAAAACCCTCGAATTTTTTGAATTTTTCCACGTTTCAAGGTCCCTGAGTTCAAAACTGTAAAAATCTGGGGAGGGGTAATTTTTCAATCGATCGCCATATATTCCCTCTGTTATAGATAACAGAGCTGAAAAGATAAAAATGAGAATAAACCCTTTAGTACAAAAATTTATTACACCCATGATACCTATTGAGTTTTCTATAGGATAGCAATCATTATAGGACACAGCTATTTATAATTTAAAATATATTTATATCTTTTTAATTTTGTACACAAACCACTGCTCTAAGCTGTAGACTCATAACACGAGGCCCTAAGCTGCAACTTGTTTCTCTTTGCGCAAATTGGTCCCTAAAAATATGGTATAGACTACTGTTTTTATAAAATATAAAGATTATAATCTACATTAAAATAGCACGTTTGGAAATAGCATTCTTCAAGTAACTTAACATCTTTTCTAACAAAATTTTACGTGTCCTAATCCTCTACGATGATTACTGTACACTTCACCACATCTTAATTGAGTAATTTTACAGAAAGCACTTTAAATGAAACTATCAATATTTAAAACAGTCAAAGTATTGGAAGTATTTTAAAATAAATTTAGCGTATTTTAAGAATATGTCCCTTGACAATAGATAGTGATAGTGAACGTTACTTAATTTACTTATTACTATTACATAGAGACAAGTATCTGTCAAGGGGAACATCTCGTATGAGAAACTGACTTCTGTGTTACACACGTGGGGGAAAAGCAGAAAACTTCACCTGGTTAGCCCGTTGGTCAACCCACAACCAACTAGCACTGTTTTTATCCACTCGGTTGTTTGGGAGTTTCTAGGAGAGATGCTCTGAAATCAAGAATCCTAGATCAGGCTTTTGTTTCCTTTTATTGTAAATTTAAGCAGGCAAATCGTCGAAAGACGTAAAAGATAACGCTTAAATAAGGTGTTCACATAGTCCATCAAGATTTCAAGATGGACGACACCTCACTACTCAAATTAACAATAATTTTTAAAATATTAATGAAGATAAAAACGGAATTGAAAACATTATTACAATTTCTCAAAAAATCCATAAATAGCAAGGACAATTAAAATGGCTATGACAGGACAAATCAGGCGACAATTCTTAGTAAAAACCAATAGTATTGATTATGGTTGTAAATAATATAAATCAACAATAAAAAGTAATTTTATTGTTAGAATGCTTTATTTTCTCAATGATTCTTTTCTCGCATTATTTTTAATTTTAGTATTTTCTTTATTGCTTAAAGAAACTTTGACGATTTGCTACAACTAATCCAAGAGGGACAGGATCTACACAGATGTAATCTTTCAAGTACACATCTTTTTGAAGACAACTTAAAACAAGATACACTCAAGGAGGAACCTACACTTCATACAGAATTTGAATGAAATTGAAGTAAGTGGCCACATAGATAAAACCACCGAACACTTGGTTGGTCGCGGTTTCGCGCCTCATCAGTGATCCAGTCACGTGAAGTTTTCGTGGTTTTCTTAACATTCCAATACCTAATCAGGTGTCATTTCCTCCTTGGCAGATCGACCACGTGTTGCTTTGCCTTATCTTAACAAATCAACCCTACAATTAAATAAGGATGACTCTTAAATTTAAATCACTTTGTACAGTTAGAACCAGAAGCTGAAAGACTAATTAATTAGTTTCATATAAAGATTTACATTAAAACAATTATTTTAGTAAATGATTTTTGGTCTAATTAAATAAATCTTATTAACACTTAATGCTACTTACGAGCAGATAATTTTTGCTGATTAATTAATCTGCTATTTTTAACTGTAGTAAAAAAATTTCTCTGTGATGTTAATTGGTACTTTCACGTTATTGTATTCGTGACCATCACAGAGCAGTAATGTGTAATTAAAAAAAGTCATAAAACCGTAAATTCGAGGGAGCAAGGTAGATAGAATAAATTGAAATCAATATATGGGATTCATAATCAAAAGGGGAATCGATACATGGAAGTCAATACATGGGAGTACCTGCTTGGAGGATATTCTAAGGAAAATTGTCGCTATTTAATTGTTTAGATTTATAAAATACGTACTGTACGTGTTAGAATACACGTATACCGATAGTCACACCTTATTAAATAATTTTAAAGGTGAATACAAATTTTAAGATATGTAAATAGAATTCATTTTTTAATTTGTAAATCTATTTTTTAAATGTTTGTTCGTTTCCTTTCAGGATTAATTTAACGATTATTCAAATATAACTAAATTTATCACCGAAGTTACATTATTCCTAATGGCAAAAAAAAACTAATGCTAGTTATTCTGTCAAGGTTAAGGGAAACTGCCAAGTTTGCAACGTGTCTAATTTTTTGTTAGAGAATTAGGAATTTATGACTGCAAATTATTGGGATTTGTGTGATTTTTATCTGTCAGGAATTCGCGTCTTTCATTGTAGTACTGTCTCTTCTTTGTCCTTGGTATCATTCCAGTGTCTTCGTGAATAATCACAGATATTCTATTCATCAACATTGTCATTTGTCTTACACCCTCCTTTTTAAATAGAATATTTCAACTTTTTCGTACTTATTTATTTAGCTTTGTACTGTCACTTATTTAGCTGGCAGGCATTTTCTGCTGCGTAGATATTATCGCATCATCAAGGATAAAACTTTTGATGAGTCAAACATTTATCTTCGAAGAATAGACAAAGGACATTTATATTAACAAATGGCATTTACGACAGACTACGCGACATTTTTTTACTAGTGACTCTAAAGATAAACCATCCCTATCCATAAATTTATATAGATGAGGTCCACCTTTCATTTTCAAATTCCATTTAACTAAGACATTAATCGATCTGTTAATATGCAATATTCAATATTTGTTATTCTATAATATTGTAGAGGAAATACTATTTAATATTTCAGATTTATAGGCTCATAATTAAGGCGTTTTTTTGTGATGAACATTAATTAGAAGGAAGGAAACTGTGCGTATAATTATGACTTTTACTTTTCCGGCTGTTATATATAACAGAGGGTCGGCCCCAAGATTTTTTACATTTCTGGACTTAGGACACCTAGAAACGCAAAAAAATCGGGGGTTTTCTCTGTATGTATGGATATTAGTGTGTATGGTGGGGGGTCACGATTTTGTTCACCCTTCTTGAAGCTTAATAATTCCTGTGCTTTTTGTCAAACGTTCCTGAAATTTTGCAGATAGGTTTGTCTATTAGGGAGATTGATGCTATCAAATTTTGGTTGTTAAAGGTCGAGGGGGCGGGGAGATAAAGGGAGTCGTGTGTATCTCCAATAGGGTCGGACTTAATGACGATTTTACTCGTTATTAGCATTTACAATTTTTATAAAACCCATCCCTATTCCGAAAATTAACTTTTTGCTATTTTATAATAGTTAAAAATATAAAAAGTTTTTTAATAAAGTATGATAACAGATGGCGCCACTAAATGTTGCCGGGGAAAGTTAAGCAATTCGTTGTTGGATTTATTTTTTATATGTCTTTGATAAATGTTGATTATTTATGTATAAATAGTGACTATTCAGATTTTTTTCGGATACCGTAAAATACTAGCGAATGGATTCAGAATGAAAAATAACAGATAATTCACAAATTATCACGAATAATTTAAGGAACGTTCTAGCGATTCACGCGTTTCTTTCTGGTGTTTTGAACTTAAAAATCGCTCAAGCAGTTACAAAATTGCTTTGGTCTGCAACCAAAATTTAGCACCAGAAATTACTCTTACTCCCGTCAAAAATCTATTTTCGTCCACAAAAGAGGGATTTTGTTCCGTTGGGAAACACTGAACTAGACACAGTTGGGCACTCTCCTATCACGTGATATAAAAACAATTAATTATATGAGTTATTTAAATGATGTGTCTTGCATTCCTACGGCGGATAACAAAAGTTTCGTTTTAAACGACACTTATTTAAAATAAAATACTGACGAATCATCCTCCCCTATCTCAATCAATCTTTACTGATGGAGATTATGGGCATATAAATTTTCCCTAGACTTTGAGAAAAATCCCCATCTTTTCCCATCTCGACGGTCCTGATTATCACCTAAATCATTAATAATGGTATAGATACAATCCATAATGGATTAAAGATACACTTTAGAAAATAAATAAATTTATTACTTGTATTAATTGTTACAAGCGTTTATTTAATTTGTAAAAGTTATAAAATGTAGGTTATTATTATCTGCATATATTCGGATGTAATTAATATTAAAATATAGTTAACCTGTGAACAACGACCACTGATAAGAATATTAAAAAAGACCGCTGTTTGGAGGTTATTTTTCATTCATTTAAAAAAGAAGTTTCAGAAAAATGGCCGCCATTTACAGGTGGTCTTTACTTAGAGGTTCAATACGTGTATTTTCAAGCTAGACTATTTTCAATAATTTATAGTTTTGTTTCGAATTAATCAAATTTCACGGCAAAAGTTTAATGAAATTTTATATTTTTACACATCAAAAAATAAAATAATTCGATTTTTAAAAATAATTTTTTGTAAAATTTGAATCTATAAAATATGATTGGATTATTACTTGGATATTTTTAAACCCGTTCTGGTCCGTAAATAATGACAAAATTATTGGGAAAATATATTTTTATTTAAAAGTTTTCATAATTCGTTTACCATAAAACGAGTGAAAAATTAAGAATTCCTTTTAAATATTAAATATAATCCTGACACAAAGCCAAAATTCTTTAAGGGGAGGGAAAAAATTCGGTTCTTTTAAATTTTCATTCAGTTCTGTAGCCAAAAGCAACAATATTATAATTTCGAAACTATATATAGATATATTTAACACTATCTTTTCCTGTGAAATTTAATTAGTTGATAAGAAAAATCAAATTTTCTACACTCTCCACACGTCTCTTCACTCAAACTACAATAGAATTAAGGGATATTTTACGTTTTAAAATTAGAAAAATAGGTTCTTAACTAAACACAGCGATGCTAGATATATACTGTATATTGTCATCTTTTCCGTAAACCCACAACAGGTTTTATGATATACGTATGCATCGACCACGTCATAAGAATTCCACTGACCTTGGATCTTGTATTAGTTATTACTCGAATGTAGGCCTTAGTAGGCGCTTTTTGTTATGTTGTCCACTCAACACAAGAGGCACTGGATTAAATGTTTATGTTCTAGCATATTGCTAATTGCCATAGCTACTTGGATTATCTACCTTTTCCTACCCATACCCACAAAAGGGCCAAAGTTTAAGAACATTTCCCACGCCTATGCATCTACCAAAGTAAGAATTACTCTTAACACTCAAGTAAGCGGTAATGTACGCTTGTATAGTTATATTTTAGTGTATTTTATAGTAAAATATAATTTAAGATAGGATATTTGTGATGGTGGCAAGCTGTTGTTAGACGATTTGAGGATTTAAAGTTGTTCTTTTTTTTCACTAAATAAATAACTCAGACCAACTCCCTTGACTTGTAAAATATAAATACAATATTTTGCTGGTTTTAAATTAAACGGATGGAGTCATTCGTGATTCTCGTATTTCGACGACTGTTGTCGCGTATAATGTTTCTATTCTATTGTTCGAGTGTAGTGTGACTATACAATAAGAATCGAATTGATTACGTTTCCTAAACCTGTCACCGAGAACCTTAGAATTGTTCGTAAGTTATCTACATTAATGTTCTTTCATTAATCATCGTAATTAAGATAGAAGTTATTTTTTCAATTTTAACTTATAAAATACATTTTTTATATCAGTTTTATAGTTAAAATTACGAATCCTCCTTCCAAATCGTTCGATTAGAGTAGAAAAAAATGACGTTTAATAAGTAATTTTTATCCTTTTCAACCTTTTACACTCGCGTACCCTCCCAAGCCTTCTGTGAGATCCTTCTTGTGTAGGCCTGCCTACCCGTACCACTAGTTGATAATTGCTGTTCTAAGAGGAAATACATTTAAAAAAAGGAAAATAAGGTTCACTTGATTATATTCGCTTCCCGTGTGACCTCTTTTGTCTCAGCGTGACACGGTGTAAAATATGGCATCTTGATTACTCCCCTTTTGGATTAAATTTATTTAATTTTTAAAAATAAAATTTGAATATTTAGCCAAGAATTCTGTAATTTTTTACGTTATATTTTTTATTATAGATTTACTTATTATTAAACCGTATTGCAAAAAAACACTAAAAAACCGTATTATTTTAAAAATACTTTTCTACGTTCTATCAAGGCAATTCCTACAACATTAGATTCATCTCTATCATCCGATATATACGAATCCAGATTGGATCGAGTTAATGAAGTCTGTGATAAATACAGCATAACGTATTATAGAATATTTAAAAAGGCCACATCAAATAGGTTAAAAAACGATAAGAGAACGTCGTGTTCGACCAAAGAATGTCCCGTTTTAGTCGACGATGATAACTTGTTCTACTTCTGCTTCATTCCAAAGGTACTGTTGTAAACAATCTAAATACTCATCTTAATTTTAAAAAATACATTAACTTAAATTTCTGTTTCCAGGTGGCATCTACGTTTATTAAGCAGTTATTTTATAATATCTCGTCTCTTCCTCATAATTTCTCAGTTTCCACAAACAGTTCAGCATTTCATTCGGAAGCTAATGAAGTTTTCAAGAGGATATCGCCATTATTATATCCTAAATATATTTTAAGAAGATATTATAAAGTTATGTTTGTACGTCATCCCTTCGATAGATTGGTTTCTGCCTTTAGAGATAAAGCTGAAAAATCTAGAAAGGAGAAATTGTATTTTTATGAAAAATATTGGGATCCTGTAAGTAATTTTAATCGATTTTTTCACTTCTTATTTTTTTTTTCAAAAAGAATTTTTGCATTTTAAGACAAATATTATCTGCATTCTTCACAAGTTTTACGTAAAAAAACCTCAGAAAAAATTCCTAGTTCTGCATTTACTTCTAAACATTCTTTTCACACATTTTTTTTCCCTGAAGTTCTACATTTACTTACATTCTTTACTTCTACATTCTTTTTATACATTTAACTACCTTCCTTGCAGCATTTCCTATCGTAATTCACACAACAATGAGACGAGAAAAAAAGATCAGTTTATAATAATCATGTGATCATCTTTTTTTTCACTTTCACTCCACCCACTGGAGCTTGTGCTAAGAGCATCCTTCTTCTCCAGATAGTTCCATCTTGCTCCTTCCTGCAGGATATTATTAAAACCTTTCTTTACTTCGTCCTCCCATCTGACAGGTGGCCTTCCTGAAGGTCTTTTACCTCATTGGTGCTCCTGTAAAGATTTGTGTGAGCCACGTGTGAAGTCCGTTTCCAAGGATAATGCTGTCGCTTGTTATATTTTTCAATTAGCTCTTTATTGTGGGGTCTTTTCCACTCCCCCGTTTTGGGCTTTATATTTTTCTTAGGCTCTTTTCTACTGGCCTATGGAGGAATTCACATCTACAATTCTTTTATTTTTTATTATTTTAATTTCTCCTATTCAATTTACATACGAAAATCGTTATTGCAGATAATGAAGAAGTATCGTTCGAGTGACAAATTAGACGATAATTCAAAGCCTACGTTCCGAGAATTTATAAGGTATTTATTAGAAACGAATCCTTCTCATTATGATGTCCATTGGGCATTTTATTGGAGCAGATGCGAGCCATGTTTAGTGCAATACGATTTCATAGGCAAACTGGAGAGTGCCCACGAAGATTTTTGGCAGGTTTCGAGGAAATTAGACATTGACTATTTACCATTTAAGGTAAAAAACGAAGATCGATTCACCAATCGAAATTATTTTTACAATTTAACCGCCGAAGAGCTAAGCAAATTGTATTCATTGTATAAACTGGATTTCGAACTCTTCGATTACAGCATCGAAGAATTTTTTGGAACTTCAAATTACAATCAAAGTTTAAGGAAATTAAACGCTACAGCTTGATAAAACAGAGTGTTTTTATTTATATATTATGATTTTTATAAACCATTAAAAACATTTTAAACAGTAAACAGAACGGATTTGAATTTTATTTATTGAGAAGCTATGGCTATAAATTATGGATTAGTTGTAAATTTTATTATACAAATTTGAATATAGTTAATTAATTGAGGTCTAATTTATCGGTTATATCGAGGATAACATATTTACATAAGCATCAGCGTTGAATTTTGTACACGTTTTAAACAATCCATACTTTTTTATGTATATAAAAAAGGTTTCTTACAAGATAAAAAACGTTGAAAATATGACAATAATAATAATAATAATATCTAAATAAACAGTTACAAAAGAGCAATACTTTACTGATTATTATCCATNTATTTACACTAATTGAACAATTATAAAATTGCTTGTTTATCGTAAATTGGCATCACATATTCAAGTTCTCACACTAGAAATTTAATTATAGCAAACAATATTAACTATTCGTATAAAAATTTACACACTCACCCATTAAATCTAGATGATTGGAACCTAAAGCCCATGCTCCTCCATCAGTTGATAGATATTCCTGAAGATCCTTTAAACATTGTTTTTCTTCTTCTCCTAAATGGCTTCCTATCATTTCACTTAATTTGTTGATTGCTTCCTTTCCCTTAAAGACAGTAATGTGTTTATTATTAATATCGTATCACGTAAGAGGCTGTTTTATCATTTATAAACTTACATTTACATCTTGGAAAACAATAGGAGGATCTTCGTATCTTCTGGATTTTCTCGTAGAAACGTAGGGAGTTGAAGGAACCGATTCATCCTGAGTATCCGAAGAAATCGAAGTACTCCGTGCTACTTCCGGTGTTTGCTTTGCCTCTTCTGATTGTAAAGGAGCAGCAGCTTCCGGTTGCGAAGGGGCAGTATCTTCGTTATCCTTTATTGATGATGCTGCAGCTTCGTTTTCTTGCGCTGGAGCTGGATTTTCTGTTTGTTGCGCCACGGGAGCCGATGACGATTCATCCTTTTCTTCCTGTTGTTTTACAGACAATTCATTCTCACTGTGTCCATTAACTTGTGGTGTTCCGGCAGGTTTTTCAGCTTTTACTTTAGGTGATTCCGTGTTCTGTACGTCTACAACGTTCACTTGTTCCGCCATTTCGTGATTGATGCCGTTCTGGACTGTAGCAGACGAGGATGCCGAATCAACTCTCTCTTGTTCTCTGTTTATACGCTCCACTTCACGTGCTGTAGCTCCAAAACTCAACCCTTTCGATCCTTCTACGCGAAGATTAAGTTTTTTGAAGTATTCTTTAAGGCTGTCACCTAATGGACTGAATAATAAACACTACTATAACGCTTAAGGCCAACTGACGTCAGTAAATTGAAAATAATACATTCTGTGATATCACACGGAGCAGTTTTTCTCATAGTTTCCACGAAACTATGGAGAACCTGCCCATTAGAGCCTGTTGATTATATACAGAACTATAAGAATATATCTGTTACACAAAATGGAACAACTATTATTTGATAGAACATTACGAGATATACTTACGGAATAATTCTGTGTATGTAGAAATCTAAGAGAATTCACCTATTGGACACAAAAGCAGCAACTTTGTTTATATAGGAAACTATGAGAACCTTATCTAACAAATGGTTCACACCATTTATTTCTTTTTCTGTAGTATTACGAAACGAATTATATTAAGAAATGAAGTAACAAGTAAGTAAACTGTAACGAAGTATGAGCGAAGAAAGTTGACAATTGAGTATGACTATGCAAATACAGGCAATAGTCCAAAAAAATGTCGATTCATTCGAAAATGCTTAAGCAGTTGGTTCATTTTTCGACGTATACAAGTAATTATTTTAAGACAATTTCATATTTTTCGATTGATTCATTAAACTGTGTAATGAAAGGTATTTTCCCCCTCCTTTTTCTTGGGTGCCACGTTAATTTTTTTTGTTTTGTTTTTTTATCTTCGTAACAAAACTTACCTTTACACTTTCACGTTCTCAGTGAAGTGGCATCTTTCTATCTTATTAACTCGTTTCTTACAAGATAAAAAACGTTGAAAATATGACAATAATAATAATAATAATATCTAAATAAACAGTTACAAAAGAGCAATACTTTACTGATTATTATCCATATTTAACTGGATAAAATTAATCTTATTTTTTTACAAAGTGCAGCTCGTATCCATTTTGGAAAAAAAGAAATGATCAAGATGATCATATTTATGTATTTTTATGGCAAAAAATATATAGTTTAAGTGGAAATATTGACGTTCAGTTTGAAAAATATCTGTTCTAAAATTTCGTCAACTCTCGCAGACATTTTGAGAAATTTCTTTAAATCTGGTCCCAACATCTTTACCAGAGCAGGTACCTATAATACCACATTTATCTAAATTCACAATGCTTATTGTTACAAGTACATTTATAAAATGGTTACTTACGTCATTGTAACTGATGTATATGAATCGTAGCAATGCTGTCAAGCACCAGAAAGCTTTAAAAATATATAAAAATAATGATTAATTAGGATCAGATTAGGAGTTTCAGTTTGTACGTGTTGGAATTACCTGTTTCTTCTTTAATGTCACCGTGAAGATACTGAAGTATCGCTGTTGCTAGTTCTGTTGCAGTATCGTCGAACAGCTGTTGATGAGAGTTTTAAGTTAATTAAATGAAATTTCACCATCAATATGTTAAAAAACGAGCTTTTCATTACCTCTTTCAGTGCTAAATTATACATAAGAGCTGCTCCTTTGTCTTGCAATGTTGGAGTATCGCTGAGCAATGCGTGAACGGCCACGCGAACTGTAACTTTATTGTTGTTGCAAGGATAGCCACCCTCTTGCCATTCAGAAATGTACATCAGCCAATCGAAGGTATTGGGATAGAAGCAAAGATTGCACATCTGCCAGCATGAAATTTTGTTTAGAAAATAATAATAATACAGAAAATAATAAGAAGAAAGACACGGCTTACCAATTTAGCAATTTCTTCTTGTTCTTCTGGCGTCAGGGTCTCGATTTTATATAAATAACTCATGATATGATGATCTTTTCGATCTTGGTGTAATAATAGAATAACGTCATCCTTCAATGCAGCTTCTTGCATCATATGCAATGTAATAACAGGAATTTCGGCAGAGAAGTTTTTATCATTCAGCAATCGACCTTAAATATCAAAAGAATAATTATATTGTGGTTAAATGAGGAATTTCGGTTATGTTGGACTTATAAGGTACATTTCAAAAACGAATCGTGCCAATTGGTTATGTAAGGGTGATGTCATCGGGTAGGTTTATGTAATCGTGTTTTAAACAAGGAATTTCGTTTTGCAAACGAATTTTAAACAGATTTTATTGTCTAATTATTATGCCCTTTTGTCCTTTTTTTTGTCTATTTATAATTTATTTTGTATACTAGTACTTTCTATGTATTAACAGGACTTACTATACTGGGAAATTATGAATGCAGATATTTAGTCTTACAGTTCAAAAATAATGTTCTTTATTTAGTTCACCTGGTGAACACTGGTGGTACAGGTGAACTAAATAAAGAACATTATTTTTGAACTGTAAGACTAAATATCTGCATCCATAATTTCCCAGTATAATAAGTCCTGTTAATACATAGAAAGTACTAGTATACAAAATAAATTATAAATAGATTTTATTGTCATTTAACGTTTTTCTTTTGTATTTNCACTGTAAGGAAGTTCGGTTTTACCTAATGTCAGGATTTGATCTGGTTCTCCTAAAATAGTCCCTCCCTGTAAAGAACGTATTGAATGAACCATAAATAAATCATCTTTAACAGTACGCTGTATAAACAAACCACGTTTTAAACGTTTATTCCTTAATTAAATTCTTATAAATTTCGAAAATTAAGGAGCATAATTGATAAATCTTTATATAAGATTTTTTTAAAAAAAAAAGATCACTCACCGGTCTGCAGCTTTCAACTCCAGGCGATAAGAAAAAATATTCTCTTCCATAAGCTACAATGCCCGTGTGCCATATTGTAGGAATTTCTTTACCTGAGGGATATATTATATTTTTAATTAATATGGCCAGCAATATTGTTGGAACATTGTCAAATTGATTAGGGACGATAAGAGTAATTCATTCAAAGAGTAGAGGACAATCACCTGACACATCTGGCTGTGCTCATGCACATTGTTGACAATGCCCTATTACTCTTTTAGAAAAGAGGGCAAATATTTGGGTTGAAAAACACTTTGCAACTTATTTAAAATAACAAATTTGGTGCGCACTTACTTACAAAATACAGTTTTAAAATATGCTAATTAGTTACAAGGCGTAAAGAACGGAGTAAAAATAACTATTATAACTCTACAGATAATTAAATTTATTCAACGGTAGACTTAGAATCGATCAATTAAAGTACGTATTTGACACTACATCTTCTACACAATTCGAAATTACATCCGACGTCATTAGTTTATTTTTGAATATTATTATTGCGACTGCATAAGTCAAGTTATATCTAAAAATAGTTTCCACCCCGCAATACATTTATGCGCGTCTTACCTGATAGTAGTTCCTTTAAAGATTTTCTCAATCCCCTAGCTAAATCGTAGATATAAAGTTGAACGTCGAAAGATGTTTCTGCTTCGACATCGGCGCAATAGTCTGGTGTTTCCCCATTAGCAGCCATGACTACTCTATACATAAAATGTATAGGCTACTTAACTGATGTTGGCTCAAGTCCCACTGAATCCGAGACTTTAATGCGGAGAAAACCCCTTTAAAGGGTTTAATTATTATAATACGAAACTGTAGAAGTAAATTAAAACAATTTTTTTATACCCAAATAGCTCTAAAAGTGGCGTATTTATACCCTAAAATAATAGTCATAAATTAATTTTGTGTGTATAATTTGTTTGTCTCTGTTTATTCTTATATAAATAGCGTTGTTTTACGTTAGCAAATATTAAAAAAAATAAGTATTTAATTAAACGATTAAGAAGAAAATAATCCTAAAATCCTTAATTTAGGACTTTATTTTGTTCTAAATCGTGGATTTCGGGAATATTTTTTTTTCTGTGGTAAAATGCTGTGAAATTCACACTTAAATTTTGATTTTCAGGGGGGGGGGAAAAGTCATTATTTCCACTTAAAAATTAGAATTTTCATTAAATTTTTTGAAATAATTCAACAATAAAACGTCTGAAATTCAAATTTTACAAAAATTTAAATTTTAAAAATAATTTAGTGTTTTTTATTAATTACATTAAAGATAATAAATTAAATAAATACTTTAAAATGATTATACGGATCGATAGTCAGCTCTTGCAGATTATTGTTTATTGATTGTCATAAAGTTTAATTGGACAATTTGATGGTAAATATGGTCTAAAGGACTGTGAGAAATATGATCAGTGAATATGCAATTATTAAATTTTGTAGTAAAGATCTTCCGTATTCATATTGTGTCAGGAATAAATTACAGTTATATTATCAATAGAGCGATAGATAAACACATGATCACCAAGAAGATAGCGATAGCTGATCGATCAACAGGTAAGAATCAACAACTGCTTAAGCAACAGAGCGACATCAATAGCTGATTGATCAACAGGAAGCTTTAACAGCTGCTTGATCAATATGGAGGCAAGGCATCAATATTTGTTTGATCAATGGAAAGTTCAACAGCTGTTTGATCAATAGGGAAGCATCAATAATTGCTTGATCAACGGGGAGATCAACAACTGATTGATCAGCAGAGAAACAGATACAATGCGCGAACAGTGCGGGGAACGTACAGATCAATACACGATCAATAACATTAGCTAGATTAGATATACCGATAGGAACATTTTTAACGAGCTCAGCTTGTCACTGATACAACTTACATCCAATTAAAAATTACAACTGGTAAGCCTATAACAAATATTACAGGAATATTCTGAACTGTGTTATTAAATTTTGAAAATAAACGAGATATGATATTGTATATCACAGAAATGATTTCCAATTCAATTTGTTTTCTTCAATTAGTCGCCATTTTCGAGTTATGTATGGTACGCCTTCGATTTAACGAACTAATTGGGGAAAGAAGTGTCCTCTATTGCTGAAAATCCGTTAAATCGAATATATTTCAACGTATTTTCTTATGAATTTACAATGTACGGGATACATTAAAACATTATTATAACGTAGATTGAGTAAATTATACACGCGATTTGTACATTAAATCGAGGGCTTACTGTACTACGGAATATCGCAAATCCTTAATTTGTCGTTTGTAAATTTACGTACAAGTAACCCTCGTATAACACGGTAATTACGTTCCAAAAAATTGCCATGTTATGCGAATCCGTGTTATACGAAACAAAGAACTAATACGAAAAGGAGGGTTAGGTTCCAAAAATTAAAAAACATGCTAGTATATTTTCATAATTAAGATAAATATCTTCATTAAAATTTTTTAAAGTGATACATATTAATATAAATTAAACAATGTTTTCTTCGTCATCACTAAAAACACTATTAATTAACCGAGAGCGTTTTCTTTTTGGCAAGTTATCCTTATCCTCTGAGCATTTTTCTGCATTATNTTAACCCTTTAAGTTTCTTGTTTCGGGAAAAAGGTCGCTTAAAAAATTGCCTTGCTATTAAATAATAAAGAAAAAAAGTTTATTTTAATTTAAAAAAAAGTTTTAAACAGTTTTTGTGTTCGCGCCTTGGATGGTTCCTAAATGGAGTCTTTCCATCACGACAGCCCACTTTACAGGGGCATCCCATCCCTGCGATGGCAGCTTTTCCGTATAGGTTCGTTGTTTGCTGGGAAGCTGCCATTCGTATTAATTTAAGGTAAAAAATAATTTAGAAAATACACTCCTTCCGTGTATAAAAAAGTAACGTCATATGTTAAATATAGTTCACATGAACGGAAAGAGGCCCAGAATAAGAGCCAAAATTCCATCTGTCACGTGGCATTTGGAAAGTTAAAATTCTACACTCGACAATACTGACGGCTGCCGAGGTAAATGCACCACTTTAACGCCAATAAATTAAAAAAAATCATTCTAAAAAATTTCATTACTTACGGATCAAGTATCTCGGAGGGAATCTCTCGAAAATCTTCAGGAATTGGTTTACCCGTCAAGAATATGGCTACTTCTTGAGTGAAATTATTACAGTTGTGATTTTGAAAATCATAGCATCCCGGCCTACATGTTTTAGAAATTTTAAATTATTAAATTCGATAGAAATTTGTAAACATACAAACGTGTCTATAATGGATTTACCTATAATTCGATTCGCCCAATCCAAAAATATACTCTAAGAAAACACTGTAAGGAAGTTCGGTTTTACCTAATGTCAGGATTTGATCTGGTTCTCCTAAAATAGTCCCTCCCTGTAAAGAACGTATTGAATGAACCATAAATAAATCATCTTTAACAGTACGCTGTATAAACAAACCACGTTTTAAACGTTTATTCCTTAATTAAATTCTTATAAATTTCGAAAATTAAGGAGCATAATTGATAAATCTTTATATAAGATTTAAAAAATATATATAACTCACCGGTCTGCAGCTTTCAACTCCAGGCGATAAGAAAAAATATTCTCTTCCATAAGCTACAATGCCCGTGTGCCATATTGTAGGAATTTCTTTACCTGAGGGATATATTATATTTTTAATTAATATGGCCAGCAATATTGTTGGAACATTGTCAAATTGATTAGGGACGATAAGAGTAATTCATTCAAAGAGTAGAGGACAATCACCTGACACATCTGGCTGTGCTCATGCACATTGTTGACAATGCCCTATTACTCTTTTAGAAAAGAGGGCAAATATTTGGGTTGAAAAACACTTTGCAACTTATTTAAAATAACAAATTTGGTGCGCACTTACTTACAAAATACAGTTTTAAAATATGCTAATTAGTTACAAGGCGTAAAGAACGGAGTAAAAATAACTATTATAACTCTACAGATAATTAAATTTATTCAACGGTAGACTTAGAATCGATCAATTAAAGTACGTATTTGACACTACATCTTCTACACAATTCGAAATTACATCCGACGTCATTAGTTTATTTTTGAATATTATTATTGCGACTGCATAAGTCAAGTTATATCTAAAAATAGTTTCCACCCCGCAATACATTTATGCGCGTCTTACCTGATAGTAGTTCCTTTAAAGATTTTCTCAATCCCCTAGCTAAATCGTAGATATAAAGTTGAACGTCGAAAGATGTTTCTGCTTCGACATCGGCGCAATAGTCTGGTGTTTCCCCATTAGCAGCCATGACTACTCTATACATAAAATGTATAGGCTACTTAACTGATGTTGGCTCAAGTCCCACTGAATCCGAGACTTTAATGCGGAGAAAACCCCTTTAAAGGGTTTAATTATTATAATACGAAACTGTAGAAGTAAATTAAAACAATTTTTTTATACCCAAATAGCTCTAAAAGTGGCGTATTTATACCCTAAAATAATAGTCATAAATTAATTTTGTGTGTATAATTTGTTTGTCTCTGTTTATTCTTATATAAATAGCGTTGTTTTACGTTAGCAAATATTAAAAAAAATAAGTATTTAATTAAACGATTAAGAAGAAAATAATCCTAAAATCCTTAATTTAGGACTTTATTTTGTTCTAAATCGTGGATTTCGGGAATATTTTTTTTTTCTGTGGTAAAATGCTGTGAAATTCACACTTAAATTTTGATTTTCAGGGGGGGGGAAAAGTCATTATTTCCACTTAAAAATTAGAATTTTCATTAAATTTTTTGAAATAATTCAACAATAAAACGTCTGAAATTCAAATTTTACAAAAATTTAAATTTTAAAAATAATTTAGTGTTTTTTTTTATTAATTACGTTAAAAATAATAAATTAAATAAATACTGTACTTTAAAATGATTATACGAATCAATAGTCAGGACTTGCAGATTATTGTTTATTGATTGTCATAAAGTTTAATTGGGCAATTTGATGGGAAATGTGGTCTAAAGGACTGTGAGAAATATAATCAGTGAATATGCAATTATTAAATTTTGTAGTGAAGATCTTCCGTATTCATATTGTGTCAGGAATAAATTACAGTTATATTATCAATAGAGCGATAGATAAACACATGATCACCAAGAAGATAGCGATAGCTGATCGATCAACAGGTAAGAATCAACAACTGCTTAAGCAACAGAGCGACATCAATAGGTGATTGATCAACAGGAAGCTTTAACAGCTGCTTGATCAATATGGAGGCAAGGCATCAATATTTGTTTGATCAATGGAAAGTTCAACAGCTGTTTGATCAATAGGGAAGCATCAATAATTGCTTGATCAACGGGGAGATCAACAACTGATTGATCAGCAGAGAAACAGATACAATGCGCGAACAGTGCGGGGAACGTACAGATCAATACACGATCAATAACATTAGCTAGATTAGATATACCGATAGGAACATTTTTAACGAGCTCAGCTTGTCACTGATACAACTTACATCCAATTAAAAATTACAACTGGTAAGCCTATAACAAATATTACAGGAATATTCTGAACTGTGTTATTAAATTTTGAAAATAAACGAGATATGATATTGTATATCACAGAAATGATTTCCAATTCAATTTGTTTTCTTCAATTAGTCGCCATTTTCGAGTTATGTATGGTACGCCTTCGATTTAACGAACTAATTGGGGAAAGAAGTGTCCTCTATTGCTGAAAATCCGTTAAATCGAATATATTTCAACGTATTTTCTTATGAATTTACAATGTACGGGATACATTAAAACATTATTATAACGTAGATTGAGTAAATTATACACGCGATTTGTACATTAAATCGAGGGCTTACTGTACTACGGAATATCGCAAATCCTTAATTTGTCGTTTGTAAATTTACGTACAAGTAACCCTCGTATAACACGGTAATTACGTTCCAAAAAATTGCCATGTTATGCGAATCCGTGTTATACGAAACAAAGAACTAATACGAAAAGGAGGGTTAGGTTCCAAAAATTAAAAAACATGCTAGTATATTTTCATAATTAAGATAAATATCTTCATTAAAATTTTTTAAAGTGATACATATTAATATAAATTAAACAATGTTTTCTTCGTCATCACTAAAAACACTATTAATTAACCGAGAGCGTTTTCTTTTTGGCAAGTTATCCTTATCCTCTGAGCATTTTTCTGCATTATCTTCAGATCCATGCTTTACCTTTTGCAAAATGTATGTAATTTTAGATTGCTTGCTTCTAGTTAAAAGGTCTTTATAAATTTCCTTATATGGTGCTAAGCACTTATGAAGAATAAAGCAAGTATGGAATAAGGGAAAAACATTCGGCAACATCAGAAGCAGAAGCGTCGCGATCTGGCAACATTGAAACAAGTTTCGAGAAGGACCACGTGTATCGACAGAAGGCGAGAAGAGAAAATTTACATACTTAAGTACTAATAGTTCACGAAAATAATAATTTTCGTGAACTATTATTACTTAAGTATGTAAAAATTTATTACATTTCCTGTTGTACGAGGGTTTTACCCAATTCTCGAACCGTGTCAGAGTGAATCCGTGCTATAAAAGTACCGTGTTATACGGGGGATGGTACCAATTCTCGAACCGTGTTAGAGTGAATCCGTGCTATAGAAGTGCCGTGTTATACGGGGGTTACCTGTATTACGAAGTGAAAGATTCAATTAATCGAATTCATCTGTTATAAATATTTTTTCTACTTTTAATTTTAAAAGATTATTTTTTTAAAGTCACACTTAACAGAAATACTGTATACTGTATCGGAATCGGTAGCCGTATTAAGAATAAAGACTCCATAATGGACGTTTATTTTTTATCAATAATATGGCGTACGTGGCTTATGTATATTAATCGTTTTTACTTTACCACAAATTTGCAGGGCCAATAAACATTCACATATATACATTATTTATTTATAATTATATTTTACATAACATGTAAAATATAATATATGTTTATAAATGTTTATATTTTATAAACATTTATAAATATTTATTTACCTATTTTAAATAAATAAAATTCTGGCTAATGAAAATTGATGTCTGTCCATTGCTCAGATGTAACCATTTTGCACATGGCTAATAAGACGTCCTTTCAATATCTGCAGGCTAATTTCGTCAGGCTTTTGTTCTTGCGCGATGGTCGACACAATCAAGCTTATGGTCAATCACGATGACCAGACAATACACAAAAATTTCCTAAAAATCCGATCCAGATTCCTACCCGAACAACACCATCTTTACTAAACCCCGCTAGCATGACATCTCACGGGTCTAGATCACATTTAATAGAAAATTGATATAAATTGTCTTAAAATCCCTTAGGGCCCGCAGTTGCCAAACGGTTCCATTCTCTGAACACTGGGAGTTCGATCGTGGGTCCATGCCTCGCCAGGATGGACTGGCCACGTGGAGTTTTCCGTGTCTTCTCCATGTCTGTAATGCCTGAATAGAGGCCAGTTAACTTAAAAAGGCCTCCCGGAAGGCATCCCCTCGGCAGATCATCCAAGTGTTGCGTTACCATAACTTAACAAAACAAACAACTATCTTCGCGCTATGGGTATTAAGAAGGCCCTTTAATGTAGACCAGCGTGAGCTCGGCCAGCCGCACAATAGAGCACGCTGAATGAGAGACCAACCGCAAAATCTCTATCTGAAATCATCTTGGCACCATCCTACAATAGGAAATGACAAGGGATTGGAGGACGGCCGGATGGACGAGCGGTCAAGATGGCATTCTACTGTTCTGAAAAGGGACCGGGTTCAAATCCGGACGGGTCGATAAATATTCAGGAATTTTTCGGGAGATTGTTCGTCCGGATATGTCGGGCTCCCGTCCCTCATCACCCGGCCGCCCGTTGTGGGCATGGCCGAACACATAATGGGCCTGCTAAAAGAGGTCTACTTAGGGTGGAAGGAGTTAAAAAAAAGCCCAATGACAATTTTTTAAATATAATTCATAACCGTGAAATCGGTACCTGAAAACAAAATAAAGCATGGTATAACAAATGACGCCCCTGTTATTTTTTTCTACTTAATAATAAAACGTAACGTAAGATGGTGCCAGAAGGCATAATTATTTTTTTTTTGAAATGTCACCATAACACAATTGATTGAATTTATATTGGTAAATGCCTGTAGACAGCATTGAATAGGGATACTTTAATTACGACCATATAATGTTTTCTTGCGATATTTTGAACAAATAGAGTAAATTTTTGATTAAAGCCCCGACTCCCGTCGAGATATCGGCCCTTTCAGTCGCAGCGAGAGATGATATAGCGTCCCGACTCCCGTCGGAACATCGCTCCGTTCAGCGCAGCGAGGGTCGATATTAAAGCCCCGACTCCCGTCGGGATATCGGCCCTTTCAGTCGCAGCGAGGGACGATATGGCGTCCCGACTCACGTCGGAACATCGCCCCGTTCAGCGCAGCGAGGGTCGATATTAAAGCCCCGACACCGGTAGCGATAGTACTCTATTTAAAGTATAAAGTATAATAAAATGACTCACTTTATTAATTGTGTTGTGACCTTTGTCGAATTTGCCAATTTTGTAGCAACTTTGTTCATATTTTGCTGCCGTCCTTTTCGAAATCCTCGGAAATTTGTTTCCATTGGTATTTTTCGAATTCCTCATTTCTGTTGTTTTCGTTTTCTTTCTTTATTTCTTCTTATTTTTTATTCTAAACTTTTCATAATAACATAGAATTGAATGATTTCAATTAATGGAAAATTTTGAAGGAAGATTCGACGAGGACAATTTCAACAATGATTTAATTTCATTGTTGATCCGTTAACAATTGTTGAAATATTGCATTGTTGTAATGACGTCAGGAATGACGTCGATCGTCGTTTAGTCTTATAATTAGTACAAAATTTAGATTTTGAAAAATAAAATATTATATTTTATTTATGCAAGTTTAAATGACACGGATAACTTTATAGAGATCGGTATTTATTGTTAATCGGTATCCTGGTTGTGCCAGAGGTAGGCCTATTGTAAAGTTTATCCTGGAAACGAAATATTAAAATGATAAATTAGTCGTTAAAATATTGAAAATACAACAATTTAATTATTGTTTTAGATGAATAAAAAATATCCGATATATTTTTAATGGAATAAAATCTTTTCCGTTCTCTTTCTTTGAGTAATCTGAAATGAATCTGAATTTTGAATTCCATTAGTTTTAATTTTCTGCGTGAAATATATATAAATCCTCTGGTGTCAGGCCTAATATAAGACGTATGGCATAAATTTATTCTCAATTATGAGGTGTTTTTAAAGTTTTCATAATATCCTTGTGAGGACCCGAAAACACTCGGAACAACGCGAAGTTATAAAG